ACTTATTATCCGGATAACTTGTCTGGATACAGATCGCATTTAATACCAGGTGTAAATGGGGTCTCTTATTTTTCCTGAACACCATCACGATTGAAAATGTGACATTGATTTCTACAACAGTTCAATAAACAGTAAAAATTAAATCACTTACATTTTAGATGCTATATTGGCTGTTTTTGTTGTGTTTCAGCAGCGAAAATAGTTCCAAACAATAATCACAGCAGAACCACGGCACATGTCACAGGAAACACTCGACGTGTTTTCATTACTGAATCATTCAGCATTTTGAACGAATCGATTGAGTCAAAGATTTCAAAGACACATTCAAAAACATCGGTCTCATTCTTGAATGATCAGCCGTTTGAACGAATCGTTTGAATGAATGAATTGAATGACTCACTCATTAGGACGGTCGCCTGCCACCACCTACTGGCGGTTTAGTGTTAAATGTTTAAAAGTAGTATCATTCTTTCCAGTTTCTTATGTAAATTTAAATAAATGTCATAACATTATTTTATGGCAATTGTGATTTTTCAGTGTAAATGATTAATTTGATCAGCCCCTAGAGTAACAGCCCATAGTGTCTTATTATTCGAAATAATACACCAGAATTTATAGTTTACCCACCTCTTTTTTACCACTACACCTCTGACCATAAGTGTACATTAATTTACCACGTTCTAGCATGATTTATCATTATTTACAGTGATTGGGGCTTGGATGATTGGATTTTAATGTGATTCTAGGAATATAGTATAGCTATTTACCACGTTAATAGCAATTATGTGAAGATTCAGACCAACTGAAGTGATAAACTTTGACAAAAAAATGATTGTGTTCAATATTTGACTAAATGTGATTGCAAATGTTAAAATAGTTAATTAATAAAGTCATAATATTAATTATAGTTGAGTAGTGAGACAATTACTATTTTGAACAGCAGAGGGCAGTAAAACACCACTTATTGGCTTAATAGACCATCATATTGATATCATTTCACCTTTTTAACTGTTATTTAGGCATATTCTGTCAGATCTGTCTGAAAATGTTAATGATTATTTAATGTCACATGTTCTGACTTGTTTATTGAAGAGATCAACGCTTTCAGGGACACTGAAAGTGTAGAAATAGATGGCTTCAACACACTAAATGTTGAAGCCATCCTATTATAGTCATCCACATGACGTAGTTCAACCTTTTCTTTTAATTATTTATCTAGAGAGTCCAGAGAATTGTACTGCACTAGTTTTAACATTATGATATGATCAGAGATGTACACACACACGCACACAAACACACACACACACACACATTTGGGATATTTCTTTGTAATCTAATGTTATAAAACTATGTTAAAAACAGTGACAACAGTGGTAGGTATTCATATCATTTATCTACAACTGAATGAGTGTGTGTAGATTTTAATTCAATATGACAGTTGTCATAGTACTTTTTGACTAAATGTGATTGTAAATGTTAAGTTAGTGAATTGATAAAGTCATAATATAAATTATACATGACAACTTACTATTTTGAACAGCAGGTGGCAGTAAAACTCCACTTATTGGCTTAACAGACCATCATTTTCACCTTTTTAACTGTTCTACAGGCATATTTTGTCCGATCTGTCTGAAAATGTTCATGATTATTTAATGTCACGTGTTCTGACTTGTTTATTGAAGAGATCAACGCTTTCAGGGACACTGAAAGTGTAGTAATAGATGGCTTCAACACAGTACATGTTGAAGCCATCCACATGAAGTAGTTCAACCTTTTCTTATAATTATTGATCTAGAGGGTCCAGAGAATTGTACTGCACTGGTTTTAACATTATGATATGATCAGAGATGGAAAACACCATTTACAGCCAATACTGGCAATTTACCATTGGAAATACATGGTTTTAAAGCTTTTTAACAGTTATAGCGCCACCTATGGTCCGATCTCCATGAAACTGTGCATGCTTCTTCAGCATGTTATGACACATATGCTCATCAATTTTTGTAAAGTTCTGAGTTTTCCTTTAGGATTTACAGGCTTTTGGGGGCTTTTTGTCACGCCCTTTTGTAAATGACCCTGATATAGCAAGACAAATGACAAAGTTGAACTTTTTTTGGATAATTATTGATCAAGAGAGTCCAAAGAATTATCCTAGACTAGTCTGGTTCCGATCGGGCAAAAAACCAGGGACTAGTTCGCAAAAGTAGGTTTTTAACATATTCGTGAATATTTAACGAACGAATTGATTGACAGCAATGGTTCTTGAGGCAAAGTTGTTCATCATGAGGAGATCTATCAATTGATATACATTTTGTGGGGGTGTGTGCAACACCACGCGATTACAGAGCAATAAAACTCGTTAGCGCCAACTAGTGGCCGATTTCTTTCAAAATTTTTACAGACCTCTAGGGCCATGAGTCGAACATTCCCAACGAGTTTCGTTCCGATCGGCCTTCGCTAACCTTGTTTCATAGATGCTCAAACTTCATTGGCCGATGGCGGCCATGTTTTTTGAGATACACCAATGTCCTTATAGACTTACATGAGGCCTTGGACCAAGACACTGCATACCAATTTTCAAGTCAATCGGACTGACGGTCAGGTGTTTATCTGTTTTTTTCATTTTATAGCGCCACCTAGTGTTCAATCGTCGCGATTTTTTTACAGTCACCTCAAATTGAACTCTTACACATGTGTACCGAGTTTGGTGAAGATATCTCATTTACTTCTCGAGCTATAGCCATTTTAGTAAAATAGGCTCCTCCCACAACGTTTATTTTGCGCCTCCTAGCGAACGGAAATAGAAATTTCCACTTTTTTTCAATAATTATTGATATTCAGACTCCAGAGAATATTTCTGCACTGGTTTGGTTCCGATCGGGCAAAAAACCAGGGACTAGTTCGCAAAAGTAGTTTTTCGACAAAATTCAAAATGGCGGAAAATCTATCCTGGCGGAAATGAAATCGGAGATATACGTTTTTTTCGTCAGGTGACCAGCTTTCCAATGATATAAGACACTTGAGTGTATGACTTACGGTCTAGGAGTTATGAGCAGTTTCGCGCAATTGGTTGCTATAGCGCCACCTATGGGCCAATCGGGCTCATAATTTGATAACCTCTCCTCGATTTTTGTACTACCATCTGACAAAGTTTCAGAGTTCCAGCACTTACGGTTTGGGCTGCACGATGCGTTTTACGGCAGAAAAATAATAATAAAAATCTGGACAATTACAATAGGGTTTCAGCACTTCGTGCTTGAACCCCTAATAAAAATCAATACAATTACAATAGGGTTTCAGCACTTCGTGCTTGAACCCCTAATAATAATAGTCTTACTTACCCCAAAATTTTGAACAATAGTGTAGGCCTATATGATGTGCCATAAATTTTACGCACAGCAATTATGTGGACAATTTAAACAAATTGCCCTGGATAGTCAGCGCAGTCATAATTCAGTCCCAAAGGCACCATAACTACATCTAAAATTATGAAGAACCTAAATATAAGAACCACACCTCTGCTAGATGATTCAATTACTTTAAAATTATGAACACAAACCAAAGAATATAGATTCAGCCAGGTCACAAAACCTGAATATGATAATATGTTCTAGAAAACAAAGATGTACGCAGAAGAAGAAAAAAAAGTTACAAATGAGAAACATAGCCCACTAAAAATGAAAGATCAGAAGGGTTTAAGGAATTTCAAGAAATGGCTGTAATGTCTCTCCAAGGAGCAGTGTTTTTCTGAACACATGGGTTTTCTCACAGTAACACCAGTCCTGACACAAAACAGAATAACACTTAAAAGAGTCCAAAAAGCCATGTCTTGTTGAAGTGGCTTTAAAATAACTATGATTTGACAGAGAAGCAGTTAAATGAGCGCCTACATTGACTGGAGCCAGCCAGAGAATGAATCAACTTAAATCTCTGAGGAAAAAAATCCTCACCTCCAAATCTCAATGGGTATTTAAGAAGTAAACCAGCCAATTATTTGTCCATGATTTGATTTTGTATTTTTTTGCACAATCTTAAGGGCCTCTTACAGTTTCGACCCACCTCTAAAAATTGTATTCGGTTATGAGAAGTCCTGTGCAACTGCACTGTGACATTGATCACAAGCCCTCCATCTCCATCCAGACCACTTCAGATGAATTTTTCAGCTGTTCCATTGCAGCCGTTTCATAGCGTATCAATAGTGAAGAGACCCATCCGCCTCTGCCCTACTTCTGCTGCTCTGTGCGTGACACCACAACCATTCAAAGCGCACTTTTTTCGCTAGCGACTCCTCCACCATTTTCAGCTGTCTCATTCCATTTTTCATTTATCCCTTAATTTGCGATGCAGCTCTTTTTCTGAGCCTGAGACTTTCTCCTCGCACCCTGCATTATTCACAGTTTCTCAGAAGCTCCAACACCCAGAAGACCTAGACCCGACTCTTCCATTTCCATATTTCTACTTAAGGACTTATGTTTTACCATATCAAACACGTCATACTGAGAATACTAATTTGGATATTGATGCAAGACCTGCAGTCATGTGGCAGCTAGAAAACAGTTTAAGATGGAGATATAGGGTCTCTGAAACCTACCAGCCCTGGGCAAGACTCAATCGATATAGCGGAGAGGTGGACCTGTGACTCTGAAAACAGATCTGAGACTATTGAACATACAATCTGGCTATTGTTCATTTAAACCCTCTAACTACAATAGAAAAAAAAGATGGTTAAAGTGCCCATATTATGCTATTTTAAAGGTTCCTAATTGGTCTCAATAGGTTTACATGAATCCAAGGTCAAAAAACACTTTCATTTTCTGATAATATACATTGCACATAAAAAGAGTCTGAAAACGGTTAGCTCGAAGATTCAGTCTCTCTAAACTGTCTTGTTTTTGTCTTTAATTTATGACAAGACAAGTATAATGGCTGACAAAAAAGGTGATCTTTTATTCCAGGAGATCTATACAGTAAAAATATGTTTTCCTTAGAATACAATGCAAGAAACAGTTTTATAACTAATTTATTTGTTGTAATTTAGCTTCTATATCTAAAAATACATCTGTCCACTGCAATTCACACCCTGCATTAAAGGGAATATTTCTTTATTAGGAATTTTCATTCAGCTCTGTCACTATTTCTAAAATTAAAATAATAAAATGATGCCATTTCAAGGGATATTTTGAACATAAACAATGGCAGACAGTAAAACCAAAAGTAATTTTTAAATTTGAAGGCCAAAGTGTGTGTGTGTGTGTGTGAGTATATATATTTGTGTTTGTGGTGGTGTTTTACTCACAAGATTCCACGTCTCCTTGCAGCTGAAGTATTTGGGGTACTGGCATGGTTAAAACCACAATGTCAAACTGCTGTGATGCTCCCCCTTTGTGACACACTTCCCAGCCAGTGTCTTTCCGGTGAATGTGAGTGACGTGTCGGTCGTAGAGCACCTCTGCTCCTGCTTGAGTGCGGAGGGGCACAGTTGGCAATTTTGCACATAGCAAAAGAAATATAAAGGAGGAAAAAAAAGGAGGGAGAAAAATAGAAGGAAAGAATTCCAAAGAAAGTCACGCAGAAGATAATGCAAATAGTTTTACATGATCCCTCATTTTAGAAACAAAGATGGAAAAAAAAATAGGTGTAACAATACTCATGTAATTTGATATAATTCACGACACTAAAATCAGTTCAAGCCAAAAGAAAGAAGAGTTTTTATCTATTTATTATTATTACTTTTAAGACATGGTGTAAACAGTTGACAAAATGTACTGTTTATTAAAATGCTAACTTTGCTGTTACATCAAGGGTGAACTTGAATAGGCTAGGACTTGGTCCTCCTGGTCCAAAATGCACAGGGCAATGGTTCAATATTCATGATTCTGAAGCTGAATATACAGGATTTTGGGTGACACTTTATTTCGATAGTCACTTTAGATGTTAAAAGTAACTTTTCAACTACATGTCAACTAACTCTCATTCGAGTATTAATATATTATAGTAGACTGTCAGTAGACAGTTAGGTTATGGTTAGGTGTTAGGCTTTGGGTTAGGAGAATAGGTTTACTTGTAGTCGCCAAGTTCCTTATAGTCAGTTGAATGTCTGTTGGGGGACCAACAAAATAAAGTGTTAGCAGATTTTAAGCTGACAGTCTCCTAATACTCTATTGACAGTTGGTTGACCTGTAGTTGAAAAGTTACTTATAGTTAGTAGAATGTCTAAAGTAGACTATCGAAATAAAGTGTTACCGGATTTTTTTAGACAAATATGCTTGGAATAATACCCCACCTTTTTTGTGCTGTAAATTATTTTGTCTCATTGTCTACAAATATTGTCTAAATGTTTACAGATATACTTTATACCTCTTTGTTCTTACATTTTATTATGTGACTTGTTATATTTGTATGTGTGTACTGGAAGCTTCAATAGCGTGGTAAATTTATTGTGTGTGCAAGGATACTTGGCAATAAAACTCTTTCTGATTCTGATAATGTAGGCCCCATTTTACTTGTAAAATCAGACATTTGTCATTACCAGGACCCACAAATAGTCCCCCACTGCATTATAATAATTTATATTCAAGATTATGTATAGTAGTTTAATGTAGTACGCTTTCAATGCAGGCATTCGTTGCATCCACAAGGATATATATCGTAACACCCCTAAAAGAAACCAAATTCCAGTTTTCCAGTTTATATCTTATGTGAATAGGCTTTAGAAGGGCTTAAGGTGACAGAAAAAAAAAAACATCAGTAAATAAAATGAACACAAGGGAAATGTTGGTAAATAGTGAGCAAATACACACAATTCACTTGTTATGCAAATCCCTTACTGTTTTGCTGATCTTTGAATAACTGTGTTGAATTGTGTTGTTTCACAATGTTGCAGTTCCATCTGACTGCTGCTTATTGTTCACATGCAAACCATCCTGAACTGTTTCTAAAGACCCAGTCAGATTATTGACTAAGAGCCGTGATCTTTGAGTTCATAAATCAGCTTGCAGTCTGGCCAAATTCTTCTGTGCTCTCTCAAGGAAATCTGATTTTTTTTTTTTTTTTTTTCTAGAAAGGTAAGATTTAGATGGAACAGCTGGAAGACTCGGGTCGTGCTGACCCAAAAATAATTTTCTGGCAGCACATTTCTGTTATTAAACTGTTATAACAGCTGCTTAATGAACAGCGATAAAATCAGTTATTTAATCGGTCTTGCTTCTCTGACTTTGTGAATAAATAAAAAGCTTTTCTGTTTGAAATTTCTCGGATGAAAAAAAAAACTTTGTGCAACGGCATATTTTTTTTGCTTGTTTAATACATGTTTTAAGTGAATTATATATTTTTTTTTTTTTGAAAAACTGCAGGTTTAAAAGTCTCTTATGCTTACCATGGTTGCATTTATTTTATTAAATCCACAATAAAAACAGTAATATTGCGAATTATTGTTACAATTTAAAATAATTGTTTTATATTTTATAATATTTTACAATCTTTTTATTCCTGTGATGGCAAAGCTGAATTTTCAGCATCACTTCTCCGGTCTTCAGTGTCACATGATCCTTCCGAAATCATTTTAAAATGCGTAGTTGGTGCTCAAAAAGCATTTCTTATAATTAGTAAAGTTGAAAACTATTGGGTCTGCTTAATATTTATTTGGATTCAGGAATTATTTGATGAATACAATTTAAAAAGAGCAGCATATTTTATTTAAAATAGAAATATGCTGTAACATTATAACTGTATTAACTGTAACTTTTGATCAATGTAATACATATTTGCTGGATAAAAGTATTGATTTCTTTCTTTCAAATCTTTCTGACACAAAAACATTTGAACGGTAGTGTATATCAACATGACTTTCAGCAGAACCAGAAGAAGGAATCAGAAATGAAATGCTAGGAAATAAGCTGAACCTGAATTCAAATGACCTACCTGACTCTTTGAGGTAGTGTTTGACGATGGACGAGACCCCATGGGGCGTCACGTAGTTCATAATTCCTTCTTCCTTAGACATCATGTTTTCAACTGGAGCAACGAGAGGTTTTAAAATGTCTTGTGCTAAGAGTTCTTCATAAAAACTAAAAATACAAGAAAATGCATTAGTCACTACAAGCAGCATATATTTATTAACATAAAGAACACTATTTTTAATAAACAGTATCCACACCACACAGATCAGATATAGTACAGAGAAGTAGCCCACCTGCTGTGAATACGAGCGTAGTATGGTGTGGCACTTATGTATTGAGCACCAAGGTCAACCGTGCATGCAGAATTATTTGGACTTCTGCTTGTGGACATTCTTCCTCCTATAAAATTAAATATCACCAAGTCAGATCACTGTGAAACATAAAAATGCTGTTTTGCTCTTTAGAGCTAAAAAAAAAGAAACAATTGAATGCAAACAATGATGATTCAGCATTAATGTCAAGAAATAAGATTTACAATTATTGTAAAAACAATATGTTGTGCATTATAAATGGATGCAACATTAATATCATCATAATATTATGTATTGTTTCCTTCTTGAAAGAGTTTTTGGAACCCACTGATGACAATATCAGGAATTTTTTACCATGGCTGAGTTAAAAATGAGGGCCAGGAGAATGGATCACATTACTCCGGTTTTGAAATCCTTACACTGGCTTCCTGTGCCACAAAGAATTGACTTTAAAGTACTCCTGCTGGTTTACAAATCACTAAATGGCTCAGGGCCTGGTTAAATTTCGGACTTGCTTGTAAGCTATGAACCATCTAGACCTCTCAGATCATCTGGGACAGGTCTGCTTGCTGTCCCCAGAGTTAGAACTAAAAAGGGGGAAGCAGCGTTCAGTTTTTATGCGCCGCATATCTGGAATAAACTTCCTGATGACTGTAAGTTCGCAACAATGCTTAGTTCTTTTAAATCAAGGTTGAAGACCTATTTATTTAATGTTGCTTATTTTTTATTCATTCATTCATTGTACTGTATTGTAAATCCAATTGTATTATTTATTCTTGTATTTTTTAATGTTGTTTTTATATTTTATGTTCGTACCTTGTAAAGCACCTTGAATATCACCACTGCTGAAACGTGCTATATAAATAAAATAGGGCTGTGCAAAAATTAATTGCGATTAATCGCATCCAAAATAAAAGTCTGTGTTTGCATAATATATTTGTGTGTGCTGTATATAATTATTTTGTATAAATAAATACCTATGCATGCATGTATATATTTAAGAATTATTTGCGCTTAAATTCTGTATATATATATAAATACAAAATCTATATTATATAAATATAAATATTTTATATATGAATAACACATTTTCTTAAATATATACATGCATGTGTGTGTATTTATATATACAAAATAATTATATACAGCACACACAAATATATTATGTAAACACAGACTTTTATTTTGGATGCGATTAATCGCAATTAATTTTTGCACAGCCCTAAAATAAAACTTCCTTGCCTTGCCTTGAGTTTAGGAACGTTGTCAGTATTGGAGACATTTCACCACTATAATTAAGTACATGAAAGCTGAAAGACTAGAAGCTGAACACTTAGAAATTCACTGTTTAAAAATGCTTATATAATAATCTGATAAAATGCCTATATAAAAATGGGATATAATCATTTTTAATCACTAGATATGTTGGGATATAACCCTATACATTTCTAAGGCCTCTAAATTACCAACATGATCAAAGCTGCTGTAAAAAGTCTGTTGTACACACAATCTTCTACAAGTTACTACTGACATAGAAAATAAATATTTTTCAATAATTTGCTTTGTTATCTGTTATTCAATTGTTTATATTTTCAAAAAGGGTTTTAAATAGAATAGTTGAATTAGTATTTTACATAAATGACATTTAAAAATGATGTAGGGGCTTTTTGTCCACAAATTAATCCAAAATTAAAGCCAACCCTCTTGAGTAAAGGTTGAGGGATTATTTGATGCACATAATCCAAGAAATAACTGATAAAAATGCTCTCAAGTATTTATTTCCCAAAGAAAGCAACACAAAAGTTTAATCTTGGCCTATCAAACAATTTGTGGTCGAAATGAAAGCTGTGCTCTATCCACCATCACACCTGATTCCAATCTGCCTACTTCCTTATACAGAGCCACCTTATAAAATAAATGTCATCTTCTTTAATTAATCAAAAACATTAAATAGTAGTTTAAGTGAGCAATTGAGTTAAATACAATTCAAACACTCAAACTTGAATGGCTCCAATATAAATATGAAAGGGGTCATGAACTGAGAAACCAAATTTTCCTTAAGCTTTTGACAGAGGTCTTCATACTATAAGAATATCCTGCAAGTTAGAGAACTGAAAACGGTCCAACTTTATATTAAGTGGCTTTAAGTAATTTGTTGAAATTAATAATTTGATACAATGACTTATTGTGTACATAGGCCTATGTTTTTTACTTTTATTTTAAAAATACCATCATGTAATTACAGAGTGGACCTTTCCCTTACACCTTACTACCCATACCACCACACCTGTCGCTAACCTTGAGTCTAGTTCACACTACATGATTTTAAGCTTTTTTTTTAAGCACTTTTTTTTTTTTTGGAAATAGGCTCATTTTACAACTCCCCCAGAGTTAAACAGTTGAGTTTTACCGTTTTTGAATCCATTCAGCCGATTTTCTGATATTTAGAAGAATATCAGTAACCAGACAGTTTCTGGTCAAATTGACTTGAAGTCTGGTTACTGATAAATAACTAAAACTGAAACAAAATTATTTGACGTATAGACTACTTTTAAACTTAGAATTATTCCCTGGCATTCTAGCATATTAAAGAGCATTTTTTTTTTTTTTGCGTGCTGGAGGTACGCTATTATGTATCTGCAACGACAACCCGATCACACTAAATGCGTCTCATTGTGTTTTCATCGTGCAATTTATACCAGAAAATGAGTTTTTACCTGCATATGATAGGCTACGGATGGGTATGTTTAATAGTGGTTGGGTGCGACGTGTTACACGCAATAAAGTGCATATCAAATGCACACGAAAAACTGCTTTACAATTGCACGTAAAAACTCATTTTCGCGTTTAAATTGCACTATAAACACAACGCGTGCTAGAGCTGGTAAGTCCCGCCCATCCGTAAAACTCCAAGTGGACCTCTAGGTTGAAAAAGCGTCAGTGCAAGTGAATTAGAAAAAAATATTATTTTCTGATCCCCGTTTGAATTGTGCCATGAATGTGAACATATGTTGTCTGTGAATTTTTTATATAATTTCTCATGTAACGAGTTTGACAGCATATTGTATGATTCTTTGGCTAATAGACATAATGAGAAAGACTACACGTCGCATATGTGACGTCACCGCATAACACATTTTCCCTCCACAAATCACAGTGCGATAATCTAAGGAATTAGATTGAGGTGTTTTGTACGGTGAAGTGCACCAAAGACACCGGCATTTTTAGCGGGATCCGTGTGCTAGTGGTGGTTACGTATAACAAACACGTCGAAAGCAGAGAAGAGTTGTAGTCCGCAAAGTGCTCTCACACAAAGTCTAACCTTATGAAAATTCTACCTGCTAAATTGTAGCATTATTTACACAAAAAAATATTTTAAAAAAATTCACAGACAACATATGTTCACATTCATTGCAAAATTCAAACGGGATTAGAACATAATTATTCTCTCATTCACTTGCATTGACAATTTTTCAACCTAGAGGTCCAGCGGGGTTAGCGGAAGGGGCGGGATTTACCAGCTCTATAGAGTCGCATTTAATATATTATTAGACATTCCATGACGGTTATTTTAGAGGTGTGTCCAGCGATCCACTGACTCTTTTGAATGTCTTTCAGAACTTTTCACGCTGCGGCGCGGGCGCCCTAAAGTCTATGGTTTTTTTGAACGGGTTTTTGCTAAATCGCCTGAAATAAGGTCTGTGGTTAACAAAGCTTCTAAATATTTTCACGTTTTGATCTATGTCTACATAAAACACACCAGTTATAACCTGCTTATGGTTTTTAAACTTTATTGTGTCTGCTTTCGTAAGTTTCCGAGGGGCGCTCCTGTAAAAAATAAAGTGGGTGAAACTTCCAGTAAGGCGGCGGAAGTAGCATTCTAATGGTATTATGTGTATTAGTTAGCGAAGAGGCTAGCTGTTTTTCGGAGAATTATTTTACTATTTAAAGACGCAAATCTTTATGAGAGACGTCGTTACGGAGCTCAGGGACAACATGTGCTGTTCGCGGTTGTATGTATAACCGGACTAAACTAATTCAGTGGCTTAAACTTGATTGTTTTGAACATAAGCCGAAAACGAAATCAGAGTGATCCTGCCAACGACTGTAGTTTCCATCACCTCCCAAAAGACGACGAATCTTCCTGTGTACATTTGTTTAAATTCTTAATATTCTATAAACTCTATCAGCATGTGTTTGGCTGTTCGCTACTGATGTTACACCTAAACTCAGGATCAAAGCCTGAGTTGACAGAATACCAAATGTGCCAGTTAATGTATTCCAGTAGCACATTCATTTATAATTTTGAATAAACTCCAAAGCACAATGACTACGTGTGTATTTTTTATTTTAATTGTTTGTCAGCTCGCACAACTGTCTGTCACCATGCCTTGATGAGTATTGATTATTAATAATGTTATTATAATACTCCCAACCAACTACTGCGGAGGGTAAAGGTACTGTTATTTAACCCTTTTTAATTTCGTTGAGGTTGTGTTCCCACATCGTTAGCTAGTTTGGATCGCTATAACTTGAATGACTGTCAACTGTTGAATGAACGAGTGTCAAGCATGTCAAGTCGCGCTTTGTTTACTTCGAACTGGAAGACGTGCCCACTTTTGACGCAAGGCCTCATGGGGCGTAGGAAACTTGTGGATATAGGCTTCAAAATGTACACATTTTGGATTAAAGATTATCTTGATAGAGTGCGTAAGGGTCACAACTTTGTTGAACACAGATCTTATTTTTTGTGATTTTCCAAAAGTCTATGGGGAAAATGCATAACTTTTCGATCGAGGGAACCCATGCGCTGCTAGCTTCCGAGTTGTCCTAAAAGTGACGACATAACTTCGGCACTCAATTGGTGCGCATGCAGTTTTGCGTCATTTCCGGTTTGTTTTATCACGTGATTTTTTTCCAGTTCGTTTTATCACATGTTTTATCAGTACCTGTCCTGAATGACCTACTGCACCAGCGAGATTCAGGTGTGTATGCTACTACTTAGAACATACTTTTTTAGCAGCCCTTAAGTAATTACTCAAATTCAAAATAAATGCCTACTCAAGAGAGTGTGCGATTTTGGACAAAGTCCATGTCTGTCATCAGCAAAATGCTCATTGCAACCACTGCAATCATACAACAATCAAATATAATGCTATAGATCTATACAATGCTATAATCAACACGTATGGTAACGTGATTAATTAAAGGTGCAGTCCGTAACATTTTTTGTGTTAAAAATGTACAAAAATTATGTGGACGAGGCCATAAACAGAGGGGTGTTTCTAACCTTGTTACATGAGTTGCCCACTTCGCAGAAAGGGTAGGGTTTAGGGGTGGGGTTGGGTGAAGGATACCCACCAGTTTAAAAACACCCACATATTTAGAAACGCCCATTTTTGTTCCAAAGTCTCAAAGCAGACACGCCCCTTAAAACAGAGCATTCAAATAAGAGGGCTAAAATCAGGGTAATAAAATGCATTTTATTTCTAAATTATGACTTTTTTCAGTGAAAAAAATCATACGCACATTATAAGTGCACCACAGGAAACATTGTAAAACAATTAATCATGCAGTTCATGACCCCTTCAATAAACATTATGTTTAAAGTTATTTACACATTCAGGTTTACACAGTGGAGGCATAATTTCCCTTCTTAACACATAACAGTTTTTAATTGTTTTAAACAGTTATTGCAATTTGGCGTTAACTGTTCTCCAATCATTGTTATAGATAGAACCATTCTAATCATTGCTTTATGATATTTGAAGTGGGAGTGTCCTCCTGACAATCAACAAAGTTGAAAGTTCAAGAGATGCTGCCTTCACATCACGCTATGACAATTATCGTAAATAAATATTAGTTTCCTAGTTACAAAATTGGCCCTCTCAAGTCTCAAAAATGTTAATGCGATGAGCTCGTAATGACGACTTCAAAACAGAAGTGGAAAGAAATTTCCGATATAGCACAGCATTTCTGGTCATGTGTTCTGAAGTAAGTTACATTACTGAGCACTTCATTCATTCTGTCCTTTCAGGCAGAGTCAATAGGAATTTGACATTAAAAAAAACAAAAAACATTTGTATAAAAAAAGTTGAAGTTACTTTATATCTGCTCATGTTCTGCTCACCTTGTGTAACGTTAGAGGAGCAGCAGGTCACCAGTTTAGCAACTTTTCGATAATATTTAACCCATAATGAGTGATTTGCAGCACATACCACTAATGCTATGATTCCAACAAACGAAACATTCACCAAGCGATAAAGTGTTGCATATTAGTTTATAAAATAAGCATTCTGTATGTCAAAACAGATAAGAAGATGCTAACCTGAACCCCGAGATTTGTCCCACACGACTATTTTAACCTTGTTTGGCAGCTCCCTCCGCAGCAGACAGGCACATATACTGCCAGTAAGACCAGCACCAACTATTAGAACTCGAGACATTTTTTTTTAAAATGTAAATTGAGCAGCTAACGTTACTTAAGGTGAATTAGCCAAGCTACTGTAGTTTGAAGACCTCAGTCGATATGGCATACTGTCACTTTAAGACTTATGAAAGGCTGAAGGGTTTTTTTTGTTGGCCAACTAAAACATTCCCTTTGTTTGTTCAATGTTTGCGTATGCACATCATATACAAACTTCAAAATAATAATAAAGTTGTATGTCAGTTTTGCAGTATTTTGAAGAGCAATGTACGCACTCAAATGTATTTTTGTTGTCTTAATTGCATTTAGTGTATTTTTTTTTAATTTATGTATTTTCGCAGTCGAAAATCACAATTTATTTAGTCTCATTGTCATCTAAAAACAAATAACGACGATAGTTTGACACATTAAAGATTATAATAGAGTCGTATTGAATCAAATGAACAAGCTAAAGCTAAAATATAAAATATATATAAATATATATTTAAAGCTTCTTCGGGAAGGGGGGCTGATTGATTTAAGGCGTTTGAAAACAGTGATCAGGTCATGATGTCAGTGTCAGCTGACATTAAAGCATTATCATCGCTATCAGTTCGTGGTTAGTGGTTAGATACTGCCCTGACGCTATGGAGAGCTCATCCGACGTTGGGTAAGTTTCATTATTTTCGTTATTCAATGCTATAGGACCCTTCAACAAACACGGTTCATTAGATCATTAATCTCGATTAGCTTAATAAGACAAACATGTTTATTCGTGTGCTGCAAAGAATGATGTAGCCTTGAATAATGCAGGTTAGAAAATGTCATTAGCAGTGAACGAAAATACTGTACGACTACTGTAAGTTAACTATGTTTGCACTGGTTGACTTCTGCTGCTTTTGTAACACATAAAGTTTGTTTATTTCAAAAGCACTGACTTGGCTTCTTGTCATTCATGCACTCGGATGTGCTAAGCTGCTTTCGCTTTGTGAAAGTGCAGTAAAATTAAACGTTGCTTAAATTATAATGCACGTAATTAAAATGTAATTAAATTATATTTATGTGTAATAACCTTATAGCCCCTACACTATTTTTGGTGGCAAAAATGTTTGAATAGAAAAAAGTTAGAATATTGCAAACACTTTTTTTTCTCTATTTGTATACCAGTCAAACTGCTGGAGTGATTTTCAGCAATGTTTGTTTTTACAGTTTATTTGAACAAAAATGGATTTTCACATATGTTTTTTTTAATGTATTAATTGATTAACTTTCAGTCACATGTTGAGCAACAAGTATTGATGGCTGCTGAAGAAATACGCTTTTAACATTGGTTTAGATTAGTCCTGGGAAACCCTGTATGATAATTTTGTGTTTGTGAATGTTCAACAGAAAGAAGATATCATGGCTGGTCTTGTCCCTGGTATTGCTTACACTTGGGCTGGTTCAGTGCAAGCCTTTTCAGGACAAGGCAGGACTGGACCCTGAAGTCAATATGAACATTGTAAGGGACCAATACAACAAGTAAAAAGACAAGTAGCAATGAGTGTTTTTCATTACTCATCAGTAAATTGTCAATGAGCGCTAAAGATCAAATTCTGGTAAATTTGGTCACTTTTATCCATCTCAGTGGAGACAAAAAATAAGTTATTCAACAACATTCTGTTCAGCTTTGTGGATAATATGGTGTGGACTTTGTGAAATGCAGAGTTATTGAAGTGAAACAAACACTTAAACCTTAAAGAGCCCCTTATGGTTTTTCGAATATTACCTTTCATGCAGCTGTTTGTGAAATGTGAATGTAAAAGTTCTGCAAAAGTTGTTAAAACTAAGTCAGCTCTGAACCGCCTATGTGTTTGTAATTCGTATCCCACTCTGTGACGGTTCTACGTCACTATAAAATACATTTGCATAATGACCGCCTATGTTGTACGTGGTTCACCAGTGGTCCAATACAACTTGACCCGACCTAAAACACGTAATTTTGCTGACGACTACTTCTTACATCTCCGAGTTTAATGCGGGATTCGCAAAATGCTCACTCTTGAAAGATGGTTCGGTTGTGGAAGCTTGTTTCCGCCACTGAATTAAAAGTAAAAGAAATGAATAGTTGCAACTTTTTATCTCACAATTGCGAGATATTAAGTCAAAATTGGGAGAAATAAAGTCACAATTCTGAGAAATAAAGTCACAATTGCGAGATATAAAGTCGCAATTCTGAGAAACAAAGTCGCAATTGCGAGATATAAAGTCGCAATTCTGAGAAAGTCGCAAATGCGAGGTATGAAGTCAGAATTCTGAGAAACAAAGTCACAATTGCTAGATATAAAGATGCAATTATGAGAAATAAAGTCGCAATTGTCAGAAAAAAGATAGAATTGAGACTTTTTATGTCACAATTCTGACTTTATAACACATAATTGTATTTGTATTTGTAGTACCGTTTATTTGGACTAATTTGCTCCTCTGAATCATAACCTGTATGAGGTTATTTTAGTTATTTAAGTTATTTTAATTAAGAATTTGTTCTCTCGTTTTAGTAAATCGTGTCCATGTTGATTTAACTAAAACAATGTACTAACAAATTAGTAAAATATGGCCATGATTTAGTAAATTGGGGAAACAAATTACTTATTGTGAGCACTATTTACTTCTTAAAACAAAGAATAAATTAGTAAAACATGATGACATAGTAAGTCACACGGTAATGAATTGTTAATTTGTGGCCACAAACGATATACTTTTTTGTTTTTGATGAGAATTTTATAATAGACTTACAGAAAGAAATCAGAGAAATATCAGTTGTCATCTCCCAATAATATCCCCAATAGTCTTATTAAGATTTTTCAAAAAAAAAAAATAATAATAATAATGTATGAATAATAAAGTAAACCTATACTACATAAAGACTTGTAACTCAGCTGACCACATGGATGTCATGTCATGTTTTGAACTTTGCTCTAGATTTGTAATATTATATTTGCAGTTCTCTATTTTGACACATGCTCTAGAGAGAAGTGGATTCATTAGTTGACCATCTCTACTACATTTTGCACTTTGACCTTCCACATTTCACTGTGGCTCGCCCCATTCGCAAATATGTACATGCATGAAATATTCATATATGAAATATTATATGCTCATATTAGAGTGAAAACATGTACATAAGATTCATAGCTATATGAAACTAATTCGAAATTAGAACAATTCCATATATTGACATATTCATGTATCTCTTATAGCCTAAATATATCTGTTTATGTATCTATGTATGTTTCATATATGAAATATCCATGCACAAAATATATTTTCATTGTTTATTGGTCTTAACATACAGTAGGCCTGCCATATAAAAATGTATCATTTGAATATTATGTTTCATGTAGCTATATAAACTAATTTTACTATGAGTATTTCATGCATGTATAAACTAAAATATTTATATATTCACTTTTGATATAATAGGGACATGTATGTAATATATTACATTTACGTGCAGTAGGCCTACTGTATGGGTTTTGGGAGCTGAATGCATACATCACAATTGTAAAAGTGTATTGGTTTATAAGTGTTTTTAGGAAAACCTTTTTTTTTTCTCAGGGTGTGAAAATGGGAAGAGAAACATTATTCACCGGTTCAGCAATTTGTTTCATATTTGGTATTATCTTTTCCCACAGACTCTGTAAGGGAATTGTACTCTAAGTGACATTTATGCACTTTCATGTGTGGTTAGATATGAAACAAGACTTCTTGGTTTAAATAATGATATCTCATAATCATTGTTTGATCATTTGCACAGGTCAGATAAACATTTGCAGAAACGCTGATAAGACATTAATTTGTTGGTTTTAATACAATAGCTGGGTTTTATACTCTGGGTTTCACATACTTGCATTCATAACGAGATGATTGAGCCTTAAAATTAGTTTAACCTGTAAATGAAAATTCTGTCATTATTTTTCATTCGAACATGATAGGAGAGTTTAAATACTCTTAATCCAGTTCTTTTCACTTTGTAGTGGACATGTCTGTCAAGATCAAACAAGGACAAAAAGATAATTCATAACTTATACCATATGTCTTCTAAAGCCACACAAATAGCCATTTTGGGGGCAACAATGCCTTGAAAGGTTCAATGTAACGAATGTAGCGACAGATAATTATTTTTTCAGATAATTATTCAATGTAACAAATGTAGCAACAGATAATTATTTTTTTCATCCAAGTGAAACTGAATAAAGAAAAAGTAAAAAATGTAGGGTGGGGACTTGGTTCTATCCATCGGTTGTTGAAAAGAAAAAAACAATTGAATATTAAGTCAAATACTTAGCTGGTGTAATAATTAGTTACTTTTGTTTTGAGTATCAAAAATACCAGCAACTTTATTAGTTAGAGGCGCATTCTAAAAAAAAAAAAAAAAGTGAGCCTTTTTTTAAGATTTACAATTTTCAATTGTTTTGTAAAATTCCATCAAATTGATTTGAATAATCCTTGCATATTATTCATAGATTAAGAATTTGAAATGAGCAAACAAATAAAAATACTAGAGTTTAATTAAACATTTTGGATAAATCTTAATGGAACAAAGGAATTGACCATTTAGTTTGTGATATTTAATTCATAATAATGAATAATGTGTATGGATATTCAATTCAATTTGATGGAATTTTGTTATTAAATTAAAATTCGTAAATCTACAAAAAAAGGTGCAGTTCTGACAAATAAAGATATACTTCAGAAAATCAAATGATTTTGAGCTCTGTTATATTTGCTCTTGATTTCAAGGAAAATTACATTATTTATAACCGGGCTCTAAAGTTCTCCGAATCTTCAATAGTTGATCACATTCTGCGTTTTATCAGACTTACTTCCTTTTGCTTTTTCATTCTGCAGAAGTACATGAAACATGAATGATTTTCCGACACGCACTATTTCTGCACGAAAAGAGGACAAATACCCCATGTCAGACAGCGAGTGAGAGAAGGAAGCACAACCCCCAGTGCTTACCCTCCCCTTAATGTGTGTTGAACCAGCAGTGGGTTTATCCTTAAGTGGCCTAAAGTAGAATGAGCAGACAGAAGACCCAGGGGGAGTGGGAAACTGCAGAGCCTTTAATTATGCATGGGGAGATTGCA